TTCTCTGTGTCCTCACACCATTGAGGGCCAAATGAGCTCTTGGCCCCTTGATTCTGTTTTATGAGGGTACTAATTCCATTAATGATGGCTCCACCCTGATGACTTAATGACCTGGTACAGGCCCTACCTCCAAACATCATTACATTGGAGATTAGGTTTCAGGAGGACACATCCAGTCTATAGCACAGAGTGTAAAAAGCTCATTGATATAGTTTCACATTAGAGGGAAAAAGAATCTTGTCTCTTCTATTAAACAAGATGAGAAAGATGTGCACAAACGTAATGGGGCTCAGGGTGCCCTGTCCCGAATAAGGCACCAGGTACTTGGGAAGACAGCAGAAGCAGGAAGATCGCTCTCACCCTCCCTGCCTTTCTCCCTGAAGCAGGTACTAAGACTGTCATTCGAATGACCCCTCCCTACCACCCAGAGAAAAGGAGCATCCTTATCTCTGAGGACCAGGGACAAAGATAGTGAACAAACAGGTCCTGCTAGGTTCACTTATTCATTACCATTACATCGTCCTTTTCATCCCAGCAGCCTTGGGCATCTGTTCATGCATTCACCCAACACCAAACACCTGCCCTGCAAGTAGAAACCAGATCCCAGCCCCCATAAGGAAAACTACACATAAACAAGATGGCAGTGATCCAAGGACACAGGACAGGTCAGATAAAATGTCGTGGGGGTTCAGAACAGAATGTGCAGCATATATTTTTTTCAAGTACCAGAAGACATCCTTAAAGGACAAGTTCTTTAGATCTTTGGGGCTTGACAAGAGAGCTCTTCTCCCACTCCCACAGAATGGCAGGATGGGGAGGGTGAAACACAAAGCAACTTTTCCCCAATAATGTGGGGAGACTCTGAGAGCAGCTTAGCAAGGGTTCGAGCTGGCCCTGGAATGGGAAGAACAGTGAAGTGAGGTAAGCAGGGAAAGGGCCTAGAAACATGAAGGAGACCATGGTCCTGGAAAAGAAAGGGCTGCTTCCAGTTCTCTGGGGCAAGAACTGGCAAGGATCTGGATAAGAAACACCAGCACTCCATGTTGAGTGAATTACTGATCTGGGCTGCAATACCACCTGCCAAGCCCCGTGACCCTCCACTGTAGAGGGTCAGCAATCTGCCACACAGATTGCTTTGTTGAATGAAGCTTTAGGAAAATCCAGGAAGGGAGTTCCATTAGTTTCCTGGGGTGGTCAGCACACAAACCAAGTGGCTTATTCATTACATTTATCTTCTCACAGAGGCTGGAAATCTAAGGGAAAGGTGTCAGCAGGGTGGGGAGCTCCTGAGGGAAGTGAGGCAGAATCTCCTCCATGTCTCTCTTCTCACTTCTGCTGGTTTATGGCAATATTTGGTGTTCCTTGGCTTCCAGATCTATCACCCTCTCCCCTCATGTTCACATGGTGTTCACTCCCTGTGTTCATGTCTGCCTCTATGTCCAGATGTCCCTTTTCAATAAGGCGCTGCTCATATTGGTTTAGGATACATAGTAATTATTTCACTTTAATTACTTTTGTAATTAATCATGTTCCAAGTTACTGCATAAGACACTCTCTCAAAGACAGACTTTGGAAGGAGTGTCCATGGAATGCTATTCCAACCAAGGCCATAAAAACCCAGAGGGGCAAATAAATGCAATGTGAAAGCCAGACAATAGACCCTTTGACTCTCAGTGAAACTTCAAACAGGACTTTGGAGTTTGAAAGGGAAACCTCCTATTTCTTCCTTTATCAGGAATTTCTAGACCAGCTACAGACATCAACAGAGCGTGAAGAGGGACGGCCACCGGCTTGCCAGGACTGCAAGGTAAGACTTCTGTGCTTTCCTCTGTGCAGAATCTTACAGAGACTGGATCACATCAGGAGAGACACAGGACCTGGACAGGACCTGGGAGGGTATCCTGGAGCAGAAGGAATCAGGAGCCACATGCAGACTAGGGGCCAAGATCAGAGACTATAACAGGGTTCACAGTGACCTGTCCTTGGAGATTCAGTGTTTGGCCACCTGGGAGGCACCTGAAGCATCAGAACAGGGTCTTGAAATGAGTGCCCATCTCTGCATGGACATAGCAATGTCAAGACAAAAGGCAGGACACACGGCAGGGCCCCTTCTGGCTTACCTCTCTCTGACTCCAGCTATAGAAATATGTGATCACGTTGACTTAGGACCTCAATCTAGAGCTGGTGGAAAGGTCTCTGGCAGAACCACTCTTTTGTTCCTGATAGGAAATAAAGCCAAAAGGGTCTTCAGAGCCCATTGCAGGAGCCCAGGTATCTGTGCTAATTTGCAAGTTTTTCACCTGTGGAAAAGGAAGTCTGCTCTGAAAAAAAGAAGATAGCACTAATTCATTTTCTCATATCATGAATACGGTATAGCATTCAGCACAGTATTTGTTACAGGAATGGAAGGCAGGCAGACCTTCAGTTGTCATAATTCAAATGTCAGCTTCAGCATTTCCTAGCTGTGTGATTGTGGTCAAGTTACTTAACCTCTCTTACCCTTAGTCACTTCATCTGCAAAATGATCAGTAATAATGTCACTGGAGGAATTGCCTTTTATCTGCAGGTCTGGGAAGCATAAATAAACATCCTTGGTTGATGCATTTACTATAAAGTCTCCCCTAGAAAACCTGATGCCCCTTGGAGAAGGCAAAGAATGCTCAAGGTCTAAGGAGAAATGGCACCTGCTGCCTACCACAAGTCTGTTTCCACTACTGGAGGTTCTGCCATGTGTGTGTCACCTGGTAGGCATAACATTCCTTTAAAGGAATGAAAACGTAATGAAATGAAAATAAATTTGAGTCACAGGTCCACCAGTGTGAATTGCATGATCACAGGCCAGTTATCCACCTTCAGATTCTCAGCCTCCCTTCTTTACAAAGATGCAGGCGTATGGACCTGAGTGAGAAGTCATGGTGAAAGCCTCTTCTGTCAGGTGACAGATGCCTTTCTTATGAAAGAGGAGAGTTGCCAGGGACTTAGAAAATAGCTGGTTGTTAAAATAAGGAAAAAGCTAGGAAATTTCTGAAGTTCTGTAGAGCCAGTAGTTTTAACTGTTAGGATTCAAGGAAAGGGATGCAAAGCCAACAAAAAGTGTGGGGCAGCTTTGGACTGCTGTGGATCTCAAAACATCAGCACCATCAGAATCCCCTGGGGAGCCAGGCATGATGGTGCACACCTATAATCCCAGCACTTCGGAGGCTGAGGCAGTTGGGTTGTGAGTTCAAGGATAGCCTGGACTACATAGCAAGACTCTGCCTCAAAATAAACAAATAAATAAGCATCACATAGGCAGCATGTTAAAGCACAGATTCGGTAGGTCTGGGGAGCAGACCAAGAATTCACCAAGTGATACTAATACTGCTGACTTGGAGACCATACTTTGAGGTCACTCTGGAAAAATGGTCAAATAATGGCCCTTCCATTATGGATGGACTCCACCCTTCCAGAGATCACTTCTCTGAGCCAAGCTCTGTTGGAAGTTTTCTCACTGAATCTTCAGAACGCTCTTTGGGGAAGGAGCTATCACCATCCACCTGCGCAGGTGAGAGCTTGTGCAACTTGCTCAACGTCAGGCAAGCAGTAAATGAAGGGACTAAGACATAGACCCAGAGCTGTCTGATCTCTCAGCCCTGAGCTGTCTTGCCTTTGAGTTTGTTTTCTAGATGATTAATATCAAATAGTGCCAGTCCAGTAGGGTGCACCAAACCCAAGCTGCTCATGGGCAGTTTGGAGTGTTTTTTTCTCATGCTGGCAACAGCTGAACAGTGGAGCACTGGAATGCATCCAGTTAATACTGGGGACCTACAGAGTTCAGAAAACCTCCTGGTGGCTTATTGCTGGAATATATTCCACATCACCTTGTGCCATAAAAATTGGTTTTCTGCCTGCCAGGTGTGTTCAACTTAGATGAAATTAGACCAACTGTCACAGCAATTAACAACAAGAAGCTTTTTCCTTAGTCTAAGCGGCATGCATTTCTACCTGATAATGCCTCCAGTGTGCTGAAGAGGCTATACACCCAACCTCCTGCCTTTGTGTCCTTGCTCATCAGCATAGAAAAATTAAGAAATTCCCCAAATCACATTATCAGAGGTCAAATCAGGGCCACATTCATGTTATTCCTTTCTCATCTATGTCTAATGCTGAGGATTTAGTAGAAAGTATGTGTGGCTAAGGGTTTCGCCACTGTCAGACTCTCCAGTACCCTATACCATAGCGATTTAAACCTAAACAAACAGAACATTTAAAAAATGTCCACATAGTCCTAATCCCAATACCAACGTGGATGATACTCATGAAGAAATGAAAAAGGATGAACATTCCCAAAGCTACTTGGTCCACAGCCCCTCCACATGACAAAGGCATTCAAGGAATCAGGGGAAAGTCTGCTTTTTCTCTCTGAAATAAGTTGATGTTGAAAAGTCATCCATAAACTACCTTATTTAAACCTACAAACTAGTTACATTCTTCAAGGGCAGGAAGTAGCTGGGACTAACACATCAGGTATTAACAGGGCATCAAAAAGCTTCTCTCTCTCTCTCTCTCTCACTTTGTCTCTCTCTCTCTCTCTCTCTCTCTCTCACTTTGTCTCTCTCTCTCTCTCTCTCTCATTCATCCCCTCTCATCTTCTCTTCTCTCCTCATTTCTCCTGCTCTTTGTTCCTTGTTCTCATTCTTCCTCCTTCCCCTACTCAAGGTCCTTGATTCTTTTCACTCTAACCGGCTGTGGCACCACCACCCAAACTGTACCCAAAGGGTCTGCAATGAGCAAAATAGCCTCAGGAAACCTGATCACACAAATCCAAACTCATATAAAGAAAATAGTATGATCCAAGAACTTGGACCCCCATGAAGGAAAGAACCTTTTCTTGCATAGTACCTTGGTAGGTGGTTTCTATTTTAATGAAGATGAAACAAAATTGAGGATGAGGAAGGATGGATTGTTCATTGTATCAAAGGAGAAAAATGCATCTGTGTGTCTTACAGCAGCTGTGTACCATGACCCAGGAGGAGAGCGGAGCCAACCATGTGTATGCTTCTGTCACCCCAGATATCCATGTTGCACAGCCCAGGTACTCTGTGGTCTCTGAAAGTCAGGGGAAGCCTTCAGGAATGACTGCTTACCCAGCCTCATCAACAGGAATCCAGTGTGGTACAGGAAGAACAAACTTACAAAGCCCACTCATAGTGAGCCAGAACCCAGCAGGAGTGACAGGTGCACAAAGTCAGCCCACTGGGCTCCAGGCTCCAACAGGAATGGCCAGTTCACAGACTGCACTCGGAGTGATCCAATACTCAGTGGGAATGACAAACTCCCAGACCCTGCCTGGAAACCCTCAGAATCCTCTGAACACTATCCCTGGGCCAACGCAGACATCAAACCAGTTCCAAAGGAATATATCATTTACTACATTTGATCCCAAGAAATTCATAAATGAGGAGGTCAGGACATTAGGGGTGAGTGTGGTTTCTTCTCTCCAGTTTTGGTCACTTCATAAGCCCACCCCTAAAGCACTTAGATGGGGAAGGGGATGAATGTAGAGGGCAAAGGACAGAGGACAGTGGCAATCTCTGGAGGCTAAATCTAGGACAACTCTCAAGGTGCAGCCCCACCCTGTCTTCCCCTCAATCCTCAATCAGTTCCATGGTGTTTGGAGGAGACTGTAAAATTGCTCAACTTTCCCCTTCAGGGGCAAGGGTCAGCTACAGTTTCACGAGAAAGACCATTGACCTGGAAAAGATTAACTTAATTTATGGGACTCCTGGTTAGTTTTCGTGAGAGGGTTATTAGAAAAAGAGCAAGGCTGAGGGTGTAGCTTAAGTGGTAGAGTGCTTGCCTCACGTACTTGAGGCCCTGGATTCAATCCCTAGTACAGCAAAAATATGAACGAGTGAATGAATGAATAAAATTTAAAAAGCAAGCCTAACCCCTCCCCAGTCTCTCTGGCTTTCTGTCTGGCCTTATGTTCTCTCTTTCTCTATCAATGAGATAGATATCTCTCTATCATCTAACATGAGGCAACTCAGCCAGGAGGCCCTCACCAGAGCCAGCATCATGCAGCTTGAACTTTTAGCCTCCAAAACTGTGAGCTAAATAAACCTCTTTTCTTTACAAATTATTCATTATACTCAAATTGAATTTCATTATACCAACAGAAAATGGGCCAATATATACCCCAACCCATCCCTTCTTGTCAATCCTTTAGGAATGGACGAGAGGGTTAAATCAAAAGCAAGGCATTGTTTGCTTCTCAAACTTACCAAAATAAAATCTTAGATTAAATTCTGTAAAATAATATCAGGAATACAAATGCTGGTCTCAAGCATCAAGTGAGATTATAAATGTGAGTGTGTATTCTTCAAAGGATAAAGATAGTATACGTATTGCATAGTAACTATAGTTTTATGATATGGTTACTAACTACTAATTGTGTTATAATTACTAACTAATGTCCTTATTATTAATACTGGGCAAATGCTTGTTAACTTTGACTCCCAACTATTTGAAGAGAGTTTGGAGGGTTTTGAAAATTTCTCAAAAAAAAAGAAGTCAGAGACTGGACAAACCAATGAAAAGTCAAAAATGTGAATCGTTCATGAATTACAATTTCATTTTGTGGGGAAATTATACTTGCCTCCTAAAACACAGATGCAATGGGTATTCAGACAAAATGAATCACATTGTCTTTTTTCAATATCAATAACTGATATTTATTAAGCAATTATATTCACATATTGATGTGATAAACAGAAGGCCAAATAAATTAAGTAAATAGTTTTCAATTCTCTGAGAGCAGCTTACAACCTTACCATTTTGTGAGGGCCAGAAATGGATTGACTAGAAATACGTGTGAAGTGCTATAAAGTCAAGAAAACAATTTAAAAGAGAAGCAGAAGATATGACATTGTCCAACAATTAGAGAAAGATCAGAAGATAGAGAGTAATAAAATAATGGGCAGTACCGTGAGTATAGTTACACTCTGGGATTCATTTAGAGTAGAAGAAGAGCAACCAACACCTGTGAGTATATCTCCAGAATATGAGTCTACCACCAAATTGCCTTTAAAACTCAGAAATACACTGAGGTCAATGATTAGAGAAATTGAAGTAACACCCCAGCTTATTCTGAAAGATCTTTATATTAGACAATGATACAATTTGTACACAGGGTCTCCTAGTAAGCATACTGTCTTATGAAGGGACATTCACGTGAAATCTAGACCTGTCACCAGCTCTTCCACTCATGGGCCATGAGAGCTAAGAGCATCTGCTTGACACTGGTCATTTGACCCCTGAGAAAAATGAGGCCCAGAGAAGTCAACTGCCATTCCCAGAACTTCAGGAAAGCAAATGCTGTAGGATCCCAAAATAGGAGGGGATTCATCCTAAGTGGGGGGTGTCAGAAAAAGGACTTAGATGATCCTAAAAGGAAGGAAAGGGTTTCAGTAGGGTGGGAAGGACAGAGGATCTTCCAGAGTGTCCATTGTCAAGGCCAGTTTGGGGCACATCATAGGAAAATATCTGCTAGCAAGAGAACATAGAGTGTGAGAAGAGGAACAGTGTTGGTAAAGGGTTTTGCACACCTCCTATGAGCAGAACTGGTCGACAAGTTTAGTGTGTACTTCTTTGTTTTGTTTGGTTTTGAGGGGGTAGGTCTCTCCCTAGAATCCAGGCTAGACTCTAACTCATGATCCTCCTGCCTCAGCCTCTCAAGTGCTGGGATTATAGATGGGTGCCATCATGCCTGACTTAATGTGCTCTTCTAATCTGTAAAAAACTCCTGTAAGCCAGGTACTATCATCCCCATTTTAAAAAGAAGAAATCCTGACACACAGCAGGTGTCTGTCTGTGGCCACACAGACCAGTGCCAGAGCTACCGTACAAGTTTGCTGCCAAAGCCCTGTTCAGGCTTTCTCTGCACACCTGCAGGATCCACGTTTGAAGGGAAGATGTTTCTTCCTGCGGTCTAAAGAGTCTCACCTTTTCTTTCTGCCCAGGGTGCTCAATCCTGGGTGCACTTTAGCATCACCTGTGGAGCTTTAAAATACACCTAGGCATGGGCCCTGCACCCAGAGATGTTGGTCCAGTTGGCCTGAGTGAGCCCCAACACCAACCACACCTTGAGTGAGTCTGAGTGCAGCCAACACTACAAAGTGCAGCTCAACAGCCTGGAGGCCCCAACTCTGCTGCCTCACCATGATTTGTTCTCTGTTCTCCCCGGCAGGCCATCCAGATCCTCATTGGCCTGGTGCATATTTTCTCTGCAATCAATCCTATTCTGTATGAGGGTATTTCTGTGACCGGGATATCAGGGTACCCGATCTGGGGAGGCATATCTGTAAGTACAGGGCCATGTGGCCTCCTTTCTGGGTCAACCAGCGGGGACAAGGAGAAAGTAGAGAAGAAGGACCATGGAGTCCCACTCCCAGTAGGACCCTCATATCCTAGAGTCAGCCACCTAAGTCCACAGGTGCAAGTAAGGGTTAAGATCTACCCCCAACCCTGCCCCCAGAAAATCCCCGTCCTGCCTATAAGGAACTGGTACAGACATTTATTACCACATGCTTTAGTTATTCCACACTCGGCTCTTTCTACAAAATATCTCTTATGCACATCTGAGTCTTTGGGTTGGATGCTCAAGATAGCATCTAAAGATAGCATCTACTACTAGTCATGAGAGTGGATTGTAAAGTTTTCAGGAGTTATGTAAACTGGCTGTCAAACCATTTGGTAGCAGGATGTCAGCTGTTGTGGATATATATGCACCTCAGAAATCAGCAAATCCTCCCAGTCAGGGCCTTGTCCTTCTCCATTCTCACTCACCAAGTTGATGTGAAACATTTGCCAGCACAGCACTGAGTCCATATAATGTCACAGAGCTTCATTGATAATTATAAATGAACACCTTTGTCATATGATTCCACTTATCCAAGGGACCTAGAGTAGTTAAACTCATAGGTAGAGAAGGCAGCATGGTGGCTGCCAGGGGCTCTCCTGACGGAGTGTGTGTTTTCAGAGAGAAAAATAGTTCTGAGGTAGATGGTGGTGCAGCTGTGTAACAATGTGAGTTTGCTTGGTGCTGGTGAACGGTACACCTGAAGGTGGTTGGAATGGTAAATATTATGTTGTGTGTACTTTATCACAATTAAAAGTAATAAAAATTACATATTTTTAGATGAACACCCAGGTGTCTACAACCTAACTCAAAACACAAAGCATCACCAAGTTTTAATACCCCAAGAGTACCTCTCCCTACTCCTAGAGGTGCCAGTTACTCGCAATTTTATCAACCCTTTGTCTTTCTTTGTAATCCAACAAATTATACTTGGATGTCTAAGCAATGGGTGGCTAGGTTTTGCATATTTATAAGCTCGTATAAATGGAATCCAAATTGTGCACGCAGATAGCTTTATTCACCAGTGGACTTTTCATTTTTAAGTGCAGTATGGGAGGTGCTTTTCTTTCCTTTTTTCTTTCCTTTTTTTCTTTTTCTTTTTTTTTTTTGCAGTTTAAACTTAAGCTCCCTTTTTGGGGTTTGAACTCAAGCTCTACCACTTGAGCCACCACCCTATTCCTAAAGTGCAATATGTTTTGATAAGTCTTTTTATTTAAATTACTCAAATTTATGGGATACAATGTGACAATTCTGTACATGAATAAATTGTGTAATGATCAAATCAGGCCAATGGAACTTATTCTGAATCCACAGATCAATTTAGAAAAAATTGACATCCCTATGATATTGATTCTTGTAATCTAAGAATATTAATCAGAATTTAACATCTCTCAACAAATTTTAATCAGCTTCTCCATTAAAAACATATGCATCTTTTTTAGATTATTCCTATTTTTCCTTGCTTATATAAATGTATTTTAAAATTACATTTTAAAATGAACATGCAGTTGGCTTTTACATAGTGACCTTCTATCTAGTGAAATTACTATGTTTCCTTATTAATTCTAACAATTTGATTCTAGAATCTTTTGGAATTTCTGTGTAGATTATCATATCATCTACCAACAATAACACCCATTAATTCCTCATGCTTAATTCTTCCATGGTTTTATTTCATGTCCTTGTCCTGTCATATCCCCTTCCTTTGTTTTTAGAATCCTGCTAAGACTTAGGTTTCAGTACCCTGGATTCAACCATTTGGGACAAAGATCATTTTTAGCATTTCAGATCATTCAGTTCAAAACTCCCTTTTGATTATACAAGAATCCGACAAAAATATACATTTTAGAGTACTTTGCCATTTACAACTGCTTCTCCTACAGCATCGCAAATGATCCTACAAAAAGTAATACAGAGCTGGGGGTGTAGCTCAGTGGTAGAGCACTTGTCTAGCACACAGAGGCTGTGGGTTCAATCTCCAGTACCCCACGCAAAGAGTAACATTAAGCAGGAACTATTACTGTAGTCACTTCACAAATGGAAGAGCAAAAGTGGCTTCAACAGTAATTCAGAGAGATGCCTGTCCACAAAGCAGGGGCACTGTGCCTGGGCAGAGTGACTTTCCAGATCTGCCCCAGATTGTCCTTTCTGAGCTGAAGAGGACTTTGACCAGCTCTGTCATGAGCCAGTGGGTTACTTTAAGACTTTGAAAATTCGAGAAGGTTGAGGAAAGGGGAAGTTTGTATTAGCAGAAAGGGAGAAAGTCACATAGGCTGTTTGAACCCTAAGTTCCTTGGTCTTGCAGACCCAAGGCAGGAGTGGCAAGCTCATTGGTGGAGGTGCTCTGGTGGACAAGTGTTCACCAAGAGCATCTTGTCTGCATTGTTTCAACCTTAAAGAATGTGAAGGATGAATTTTGTTCCAGAAATCCATGCATATGTACAAGGCCTGCAAAGCATGAGGTGTGTGTAGAACCAGAAGGGATTTCCTGTGGGATTTTGATTTCGCTTGTCTCAGACAGATGGGCATAAATTGTTTCCTTTATCACTTTCTGGCTCTAACTCTGTCTAACAACAATGATTTTATGATGGTATCAGCAACGCTCACATGCTTATGACCTTGTTCCCAGGCTTAGTCCCAAGTCTATTGTTTTTCACACGCAATAGTGACAGGCACAACTGTCCCTTGGGGAGAGTACCACATTGTCCTTCTGAGGAGAGTACCACATTGGCACATGGCATTATTTTCAAGAAGGCCTCAGGTGCCACCTTCTGCCAGATGCCCATGGCAGCCTCCCAGTGAGCCCCAGCTCTGCCCTTTCCACTCCAACCTTTCTGTCCTCTAGCCTTCCACAATGGCAGACAAAGTGAGTAGCTTTTAAGAGAGATAATAAAGCCCTGAGGTCCACTCTCTTCTCACTTCAGCCTCATGACCCACTTGTAGGAAAAGAGGGCAGGGACCCTTGTCCATGCCCATTTGCCAGGTGGAGAGACTGAAGTTCAGAGAGGTTAAATGATACTACCATGTCCCCACAGCCAGCGAGTCCTGGAAGGAAGTGTCGGACCCAGGCCACCTCCATTCAGGCTCTTATACCTGAAGCTAGTCCTTACTGCCTCTTGGGTTCATAGGTCCATCACCTACCTAGGGACATCAAATCTAACTAGGACTCATAGGCTGGGTCCAGGATCACAGCAGAAGTGAAGCCAGAGCCCAGGTGTCCTATCTCCCAGCTCCAAGCTCTGCCCATCATGCTACTCTGCTTTGGTTTCCCAAGGTCATAGTCAAGGATAGAGCAATACGAACAAAAGATGAGTTTGGGCTGATACACCTGCAATGGACTCAAGGAGGCCCAGTCAAAAGGTGACACTTATGGCATCCTAGACTTTACCCTCCAGGAGTGCGAGTATCACAGCAGCAAGCACATTTGGCCCCTACTATTGGACAGTGAAGGGTTGAGAGGGAGTAAACAGACCTGCACATTTTGGGAAACAGGTGTATGGAACCTAAAGACTGAGGGATGCATTTCTGAATGAATAGATCTCTTTTTTAACATGCTGCACAATGACTCATTCTTTTTTCTTTTTGTCTGTGTAGTTTATTGTATCTGGATCCCTCTCCATATGGGCTGAAAAGGATCCCAGCACTTGTATGGTGAGCTCTAATGGCACTTTTGACAACCAAATTGTTAAAACTGTATTCATTCCCACAAGTGAGAAAAGAGGTGTCACAGCAGCAATGTGATCTGCCTTGGGTTCAGTACTTTCACAGTCCTTATCCCTCAATGTGCACAACTCTGTGAAGTTTCATTATCCCATGTTGCAGATGAGAAAATTGAGGCACAGAGAGGTGCCTTGCCTAAGAATACAGTGAGTATGTGGCAGAGCTGGGATTTGAACCCAAAGCTGTGCTTTTACCCATTGCATTTTACTACTCAAAAATTTAGCACTTATCAAAAAACTTAGCCATTTGAGAAACTCATGAACATTTGCAGTACAATGCTCTAGGGGTGCTCTGTGTTAAGCAAAACTCTAGGTCCAGGCCAAAAGGCAATGTGTGTTCATTTCAGCCACCTTTTGAAGTATTACTCACCTTTCTTTTTGGCTGGACCTAGAAAAGTTTGCCTTGAACAACTTGGAGTTCCAACCATAGGACCCAGGGCCCAGTATTTCCTTTCACCTTTGCAGTGTCATTTTTTGTCTGACATCTAGAAAAGTATTTGGTCATGTTTTAATTTTTATTGCAGCCTTCAGAAGTTTCAGGATAAATGAACCTGGTGGTAGCTCTCCTTCCGCCCGGGTTCCAAGCCCTCCCTCCTCCTCCCGCTTTCTCTATATGGATTCTGATCTCTTTTCTGCCACTTCAAGGAAAGCGGTGGGTTGAGGAAATGGGTTGCCTGATGAAAAGTTTCCCAATTCCCAACCCCCAGTCTGCCTGGCTTCATCTCTTTCAAAAGGACCAGAAACACCTCCCCCACACCCCTTCCCTGCCCAACACATTAGCTGAGTTCACGCTGCTATTTAATGTTCCACCTAGACTGGGCAAACCCTCCCACATCCTCTGGGAAGTTCAATGCCCTTGCCAAGGTGTCTGACAATTTCTGGATGTCTCCTGACCCCCTCTTGCTCTGATGTCTGACTTTGCTGATTGCAATCTCTATTTCAGTCTCTGTCTCTATTCAGCTGTCTGACAGCTGCCCAGACCTCAGCCCAAATGTGACAGGCTGCCCCTTTATCTTTATTCTCTTCTTATCGCCATCACCAGAGGCCTCCCAAAAGGTAGTATCTTGAGTAGGAGACAGTGAACAATGGAGGATGTCAGCATCTCAGCATGGAGAAGGAGATTTCTCAAAATTGAATATGAGACACTCTGTCCTGAAACCTTCCCCTGCCAGTTCTGGCAACCCAGGTTCCAGCCTGCCACCTCAGGGACCACGTCTTTCCCACTCCCTCCTCTCTTGAGGCAAATGTGGGGTTCCCACTCCTTTCTTTTGCAGAGCAGTTTGGCAACCTTGTGTTATCTCTTTTGAACCTAGGTTCTGAATTCCACTTCCTACCCTCAGCTACTTAGCAGTATTTTCTGAAACAAAGGCAGCCCCTGATCTAAAAGGACTTAACACATTGATTAAAGAACAATTTCCTGCTGGGCATGATGGTACATGCCTGTAATCCTAGCTACTCAGGAGGTGAAGACCAGAAGGCTCACGGTTCAGGGCCACCGCAGCAAAAAGTTTGCAAGACCCTCCATCTTAGCCAATCATAACATGCTCCTGTCATTCCAGCTACGGAGTAAATGTAAATAGGAGGACTGAAGTCCAGGTGGGCCCAGGCACAAACACAAGACCCAATTCAAAGGATAACTAAAGTAAAAAGGGCTGGAGGTATGATTCAAGTGGAAGAGCACCTGTCTAGCAAGGACTGAGTTCAGACCAATACTGAAAAAACCAAAGAACTATTTGCTCACCTCTCATTACACTTGGAATAAACTAGCTTCTTCTCTGTGCTGCCTACCCATCTCTTCTCTGCCCTCACTCCTATTTACTCCTACTTCCCATGCATTCCCAAGTGCTGGACTTTGGAAGGCTCTGATCACCATTGCCTCCACATACACACGCACACCCATGTCCTCTAGGTGAATGGCAGCATCGGTATGAACATCGTCAGTGCCATCTTCGCCCTGGTTGGGATCATCATTATCCTTGCAGATGTGAGCAGCTACATCTCTCAAATTTCTAATGTGCCAGAGGTGAGCATTCCAACTGCCAGGGCCCCATGCTTACAAAGAACATAAAGGGCTTACAAGGTGGTTTCCAGAGCAGGAAGGAATTGCAGTGGAATTCCATTCTGGTATGATAAGCACTACATCCATAAATTATGTAGCCATCACCAAAGATCTGTGAGTGTTGAGAGAACCATAACATGTTTCATTTCACAGTGAGGATGCTGAGGCTCTGAGAGGTAAACACAACTGGCCCTTCTTATACCCATTCTAGCCCCTGCTTAGAGACAAGTGCTCAGGTAAGCAGTGGCTGCCACACTCAAACTCACAAGATCACCTCCTCACAGGAGGCTGTTGAGGGACAGCTGTCATGCAAATCAGTGGTGCTGATGCTAGAGTCTTGTCTTATTTGGAACCCCCTCCCCCAGAGGCAGAGACAAAAATTCACTGCAAGTCATATTGGTGTCCCAGGAAACACCAATAGGGGAGGACAGAAGTAAGCCAAGCAAGAGAAAGGAGCCACACAGTAAAGGTATTATTTTGATCAATGGTACCTTTATTAAGGTACTGTTGGAGTCTCATCCTGCTGAGATTTCAGACAATGAAGAACACACATCTCAGTTATACCCTGTGCTGGGGCAAGGGAGCTAGGGTATTGATTTACCACTCCACTCAGCCTTGGATTGGACACTGCTGCTGAGGTCCATCATCTCCCCAGGACTTCCTGTCTGCCATGTGTATGGGCAGAGGAGACACCTATGGCAAAGAAAGCCCTCAGACCAAGCAGTGAGGTTGAAAGTGAGATGGCAGGCATGGAAGTAGACAGGCAACATGGTATGGGAGGAACATGAACAGCATTGATACAGTGCTTGGGAGGACCAAAGAACAAGATCAAGAGTAACTTGCTCCAGCTGGTTCTCCAGCTGGACCTAACCTGGTCCTCCCTCAGCACTAACCAAGCAAGCCAAGGAAGCCTGGCAGGGCTCAGAGTCTTAAGCCAGACCTGTCTACAGGGATGAGGGCAGTTCCTAAGGAGAGAACTCACTGCAGGCCCCCCAAAAAATCTGGTTCTGCTAATGTAACTTGGCATCTAGAGGACACAGCAACAAACCAGATAAGGTGCTGGTTTCAGGAGTCTAGCATGAGGCAACAGAACATCTAAACAAGGAAAGGTCTGTGGTCATGGCAACATCTATTAGATCAAAAGGTGGCCATTTGGCAATGGAGGCATCTATGATGGAGAAGCATGCTAGTATAAGTGCAGCACAAAGAACTGCAGCTCTGGCAGGCCTGGGGCCAAATCCTGGGATCCCACACTCTAGGACAAAGAGGAAGAGTGAGGGGGGAAGGGAAGGGAGGTGCTCCTGTCCCACTGCAGGTGGGGCCATGTCCCAGAGCACACTAGCTCTGGGGGCTTCCTTCAGTCCTACCCTTGAAGCTCTAATCCAGGCAGGATCATAAGAATCCAGCTAAGAGAGCTCGGAGTCAAGCAGAGCTGATAACCCTCACCTCACTGGTACATCACTGAACCCCAGTAAGGACCCCAGCCCATCAAACAGATTCATCTGGTTGGGGTAATTGTTGAGTTATATCTCAGTTGAGGTTCCTCTCAGAAGCAAACATTGAGATAAGTAGTATATTTGAGAGAGGAAGCAAACACAAGGCAAGGAAGCTGGGGTATTTATATACCAAACCCTGGCAGTTGTTGATAGAGGGCTTCTCTCCAGGGGCTGGCCTCAGGCCTGTGGTGCAACAGCAGAGTGGGCTCCAGAGGAAACCCCAATGCAAAGACAGCAGGTGTTGACTATTGCACATCAAGCCAGGGTGCACTAAATGGATAAGACAAGCGGTGCCTACAGCATCTGTTCCTATGTGCCACATGCAGAGAGGGACTTAGACCTTCCAGATGAGGCACATGGCACTTGCCTTACATGGGCCACATGTGGACTGTCACCCAGACAGTCAACTCTAACAACTAAAGGCCTCCCGTTCCTCTCTGCCTCTAGCGTTATGTGAAGGCCATACCTGGTGGTCTCCTCCCCTTTGCCTTCCTCGAGTTCATCCTCACCTGTGTGGCCTCACATTTTGGGTGCCAGGCTGTCTGCTGGACCCATTTTGAGGTAAGTGTGGGCTCTGCTCCAGGAATCAGTTGTGGGGGAGGGTGCTGTAGCAAGAAGTGACCAGAGAATAGGAGAAGTGAGGCCTGAGAAAGGGTGTCTCCGTTCAGTTTTACTGCATAACAAATGACTCCAAAACATAGTCTCTTACCTCTGTTTATTCTGAGTGTCTTGCATCTGGGCTCTGACAGTGAGTTGCTCTTCTGTAGGACTCCCTCTTACATCTCCAGCCATCTGCCCAGTAAGCTTGGGGAAGACTGGGCATCAGGGCTCTTACTAGAATAGTTCCTCTCTGCTCCTTGTGCCCTCTCATCCTCCAGTTCACCCTCCTGAGCCTCTTCACAGGATAGCAAAACATGCAATTCCCCAGAAGCAAGCACTCTGAGTCCCTGCTTGTATCCTTCTTGCTGATGTCCCAATAACCAAAACCACCCATATGGCCAAAATCTAGATCCACTGAGCAGAGAAACAGCTCTACCTCTCAATGAGAAGAGATACAATATCATTTAACAAGGGTTATGAGGGCCAGGCATGGAAGGCTCGCACCTATAATCAGGAGGCAGAAATCAGGAGGATCACTGTTCAAGACCAGCCCAGGCAAAAAATTGGCAAGACCTTATTTCAACAAATAAGCCCAAATCCTAGCTATGCAGAAGGCATAGGTAGGAGGATCACAGCCCAAGGGGAAAAAACAAACAAACAAACAAAAAACCCTCTCTGATAAATAATCTAAAGCAAAAAGGGCTGGGAGGTCTGACTCAAGTGGTAGTGTGCTTACCCAGCAAGTGCAAGGCCCTGAGTTCAAACCCCAGTACCTCAAAAAATAGTCATGAATATGAGGATTTAACTTCTACAACATGCAAAACATACCCATCCCCATCCCAGGATTCCCAAGCATCCCACCCAATGATGGCATCTGGCTTGAAGTCCAGGATCCAAATCAGGTATAGATATGACTGCAGATTTTGGAGTGTGGCTCTTCTTGACCCAGAAACCTGCAAACTAAAATAAAGCTCTGCTGCATTCTTTTTTTTCTGAAACAGGATCACACTATGTAGCACACACAGGCCTCAAACTCATGATCCTCCTGCCCAGCCTTCCAAGTGCTAGTGTAAGCCACCATGCCCCACTTCAACATAATTCAGTCAGACAAGCACCAGATAACTCTGATACACACTCCTGTTCAGTAAAAGATAGAGCAAGACGCACAGGACAATTGCTGCTCTACAATAACTAAAATCCTTCAGGAAGAGACAGATATTACCCTACCCTGAAGACAGAGAATGTTTCTGGATTAGGGGTCAAGTCAGCTCTCTGGAAGAGTCTGCCATTGTTCTCTACTGCTTCCTGGGAGGGGCTCCTTAATCCATTTTCTCCAGGATCTTGACTAGGTCCTCTAGACTCTTGGCCCCACCCTCAGAAGCATTTTCCCTTTTCCATAAGAAATAGCTCATCTTTTCCACCTTGACAAAAATGAGTAGTTCTCTAAACCTCCTTCCTGTATTAAGAAATTGGGACCCAAAGGTCTTTTTGCACTTTGATCAATTTCAGTTCATGTTTGGTGGACTTTTTACTGATAGCATTCCATTACAAACTCTGAGTATTTTCTATGTTATCAACTTATGGATCTTGCCATCTGCCAAAAGCCACACCTAGGATTGTGTTCTAGACATCTAAACTTACCAACATCTATTTTGAGGTTAAGCTTCTTCGGGACAAAACCCTTAAGATTCTTTTTTTTAATTTATTAGCATATAATATTTATACAGGAGGATACATTGTGATATTTATGTATGTGCTTATAATATATCTTAGATTTACCCCCTCCATTGTTCTTCTTTTTCATCCCTCCCCGCCCCCCCCCTTAGAGCAACTTGGACACGTTTCATTCTTCTATTTCCATATATGAATACAAAACACAACCACCATATTCACCCTTTTTTGTTTGTTTTGTTTTTCTTTTTTTTAATTTTTTTTTATTCATATGTGCATACAATGCTTGGGTCATTTCTCCCCCCTCCCCCCACCCCCTCCCTTACCACCCACCTCGCCCCTTCCCTCTCCCCCCCCCATACCCGGCAGAAACTATTCTGCCCTTATCTCTAATTTTGTTGTAGAGAGAGTATAAGCCATAATAAGAAGGAACAAGGGTTTTTGCTACTTGAGATAAGGATAGCTATACAGGGAGTTGACTCACATTACTTTCCTGTGCGTGTGTGTTACCTTCTAGGTTAATTCTTCTTGATCTAACCTTTTCTCTAGTTCCTGGTCCCCTTCTCCTATTAGCCTCAGTTGCTTTTAAGGTATCTGCTTTAGTTTCTCTGCATTGAGGGCAACAAATGCTATCTAGTTTTTTAGGTGTCTTATCCATCCTCATATCTCCCTTGTGTGCTCTCGCTTTTATCTTGTGATCAAAGTCCAATCACCTTGTTGTGTTTGCCCTTGATCTAATGTCCGCATATGAGGGAGAACATATGATTTTTGGTCTTTTGGCCAGGCTAACCTCACTCAGAATGATGTTCTCCAATTCTATCCATTTACCAGTGAATGATAACATTTCATTCTTCTTCATGGCTGCATAAAATTCCATTGTGTACAGATACCACGTTTTCTTAATACATTCGTCAGTGGTGGGGCATCTTGGCTGTTTCCATAACTTGCCTATTGTGAATAGTGCTGCAATAAACATGGGTGTGCAGGTGCCTCTGGAGTAACCTGTGTCACAGTCTTTTGGGTATATCCCCAAGAGTGGTATTGCTAGATCATATTTTCACCCTTTTCTTATTCCCACCAACTCTCACTGGTATCCAGCCCTGGAAAAGACCTATTTCATCCCCCTGGTCTTCATTTTTTTTTTTTTGAGTGTCTATTGATAGCCCAAAGGGGTTTTGCCTTGGTACTCCAGGCCTGTATATATTGTGCTTTAATCAAATTACCCACACACACACACACTGTTATTCACTCATTCTCAATCACCATGCTCCCCCAGTATTCAACAGCTTGCAATACAATGCATTATATTACATTCATATGTAATGAAATAGTGAGCTATTTCATTATTTTTCATTCTTTAACATTTTCTTTCCCTCTCCCACCACCTGTGGTCCCCTCAGACAGACTCACTAACACATTTTGTTCTCTCTCTCACTACATATATGTATATGTCTATATACGACCATATACATACCTATATTTACATTTAACTTATAGGTTTAGCTTCCACATATGAGGGAAAACATGCAACCTTTGACTTTTTGAGCCTGGCTTACTTTCCTTAACATGAAGTAAGTTTCACCATTCATTCACCTGCGAACAACATGCTTACATTCTTCTTTATGCCAAGCCCTTAAGGTTCTTAGAAACCTTTCTGTCTAGCCAAAAGAGTCTAATAGGCACAAGCGTCAGTCTTTCAAAAGTCTTAACAAAGAATTGTATAGACACAACCTTTATTGTATAGATCAAACCCTGATTTGACTTTAATTCTCAAGCCTAAATTTACTTTGAATGTCATTTATCCACTGGGGACTTCAGAAATAAGAAACTCTTGTTTTCCAACTCATCAAGTCCTGGGCCCTCTATGTCCCCTCCGAATACTACTTGTCTTCCTTCTTTATCTCCTGTCTTTCTTACAGTACTTTATTTCATGTAGTTAAAGCACCAAAGTGACATTTCCAATATTCTGCCTGATGACTTCCTTAGCCAAATCCAAAAGTTTGTAGACATATTTTGTATCTTCCAAACTGCAACAGTGCTCCCCCACTATATTATGTGAAAGCTATTTATCCAAACTGCTGTCTTCTCTCTCCTACAGCTTTCTCAGTCTGGTTCCAGCCTTTGTCAGAAGCTTACTCACTATTTCTCCATCTCCCATCTACCACTCAGTTCCAAAACCAGTATATGTATTGGATTTCTGTTTCACTACTTCTAGCTACTGAACTCTGTGTCAATTAGCTTTTTCTGCCTAACAAATAACCCCAAAACTCAATGACTTTGACCCTAGCATTGTTGCCAGGGTTGATGTACCTTTTTACACAACAGTTCATGATCCTCTGGGTCAGTGGACAGTTCTCATCTGCTGGGTTTGCTGAGTCTGCAGTTACTCATGGAGTTTCCCAGTGACTGGATGACCTCAGATGACTCACTGGCATGTCTGACAGTTGACAAGCTGGCTGACAACAGGGAAAAGTGGGCCACTTGTGTCTCTCATTGTGCAGCAGGCCAGCCCAGGCTTCTTTATGTTTCCAGAGAGCAATGAGAGAACAAGTCCCAGTGGGCAAAACCTTCACAGGTCTCTACTTGTGTCACTTTTACTATGTCCCCTTACCCAAAGAAAGGCATGTGACCAAGCCCAGCATCAGTGAGACAGGGTCTGCCCAAAGCATGGGAACAGAGGAAAATGATGACCTCGTGTGTTTTGCCTTTCAGAACATGACAGTGATTCCATCCATATTCCATAGCAATGCAACCAATATGACCACCGGCTCTGTCAACACCACCGCTGGCCCTTTCAACACCACCGGCCCTGTCAGTGTTACCACCAACCCAACCAACCCTGTTTTCCCCAACAATGTTCCTCCTGAGTTCTTATACAAAAATATAGCTGATTGTGCCCAGAAATAGAAAACACAGGGTACCCCATCTTGCTGACAAGGAAAAGCCACTGCAGTAGCATCTTTCCTTCTCCCTGAAACTCCCATGACCTTGACCCTAGCATTGTTGCTAGGCCAAAATGAATACCCATCCACACACACACACACCCCTAAGCTTCATTTTTGTTTGTTATTGTACCTTTTAATTCATAAATATTTAACCTTTGGCTCCAGATCTCTTTTAATCTTGACGAACTGCAAGGTGTATTTTTGCTCCATTGTTCCTGGTGTGTGCTCTCTGCTGAGAGGACAGTTCTAAATTGGTCTGCAGTCTAACCGGAGGTCCAACCCCTAACCATCTTCCCCCAGCTCTAACCCTGACAAGGTTACCCTCCAAGAAGCAAAAGGAGCAGTGCAGGGCATGTACACTGGGGCCACAGGTGTGTGAGCCCAGCACTCCTGGTATGTAAGTGCAGGAGAGAATGGGTGCACAGGCTTCCTGCTGGAGCTATAGAAAGCAAGCCCCACTCTGCACCAGAGAAAGCACTGTACAGGTTGGGCAATGGTAGGTAGATACACTAGTGTAGAACACAGTATTACTTAATAAGAGAATACTTTCCTCAGCTGCACAAAGATGCTCTATGGGCTAGCAGTGTCCCCATAATGTACCTTCCAGACTGCAGAGTTGGCTGCAGAGGCGCCCCCCTCATCTCTTCCCTCCTCTCTCTTCTGTTCCCCTGTCCTCTTCCTGATTCCAGACT